CAGGATCCATCCCAATTTTCTGACGTTGGGCCCCCATAATTGTCCACGCTCTAGATGTCCAGTCCTGGGCGTGGGAGGGGGTGTTGAGTCCTACATCGACAATGAAGGGGATGGGTGGTCTCCTTATATGGACTTGGGGAATTCTCACTTTTAGAACTAGCTTTTGGGGTTGAGTCAAGGCCAAGCTCCATTTAACAGATGAAATGTGTAAGTTTTATGGTATATGTTCCTCCCCGAACATTTGTCTCCTTGATATATTTGACTCAAATAACCCATCAACTTAAAGAAGCCACTTGACACAACAATCTAAGACATCTCTACAACTCTCGCCCTTATTTACAAAAATCTTTCTAACATGAGAAGCATAGATTACGAGTCATGATTCTTTATGTATACATAACCTACTAACATCAATTTTTTTAAATATCGGTGGTATTCGGGCCAATTTGTGCAAATCTCAACTAATTCCATGGGGTACCTGCTACCTTCCACCAGCACAAACACCGAGCGACCCTACCAAGGCTTTGACAGATGTGAAGAAATCACACAATATTTTTGCTTCTGCAAGGATTTGAACCTAAGACCTCATGGTTCTCAACTCACTTCACTGGACACAACCTTGGGTGCAACCTACTAACATCAATATACTTTTCAAAACCCCTTATGCGCCAATCATAAGAAGCAACGTGTGTTTTTCTCTTTGCATTAACTTATATTTTAAGTGCTTTCAAGACATAATTTTTGTCTTCACAACAGTACACCAAGTTGAGCCACTTTACTTTTCGAAAATCACAACAATATCTATTTATGTGTGTAGTGCTCATGTTGCAATAGATGAGTGTGGAATTCAATCCTTCAGATTCCTGTAAAAGATCCAATGCATCTATGGCATTTCTATTACTCAAAAAATATAAGCTTGTCATCATTTTAACTTCACAAAGATAATAAACACTTATCCTCAAACATCTGTGGTTCCTCTCTTTCCAAGTTGTCCAAATATAAATAGTTGAATGTTTTTCCGCAGGGTCTTTGCCACTTTTTCATGTTATGTTCACTTCAGCTCACCACTGCATCTTTCAAGTTCGATGCGAATCGAGGGCTATCTCTTCATAAGTAAAGCCATGTGCTTTATAAAAGCGTGCGCATTAAATAACGACGCACAAAGTGACCCAAAGAGAACTAGCCAGTTCTTTGAATCTCAACTTTGACGAGATGGATTATTATCGGCACTATTGTATACTCCCTCCGTTTCATATTATATGAGGTAGTTTGACTCGGCACGGAGTTTAAGAAAAAAGAAGACTTTTGAAACTTGTGGTCTTAAAAGCTTAAGGGGTAAAATGTTTGTGGGGCCATAGCATTTGTGTGGCTATAAAAGCTTCTCACTAAGGGTAAATGGGTAAAATGAACGAGTTTAAAGTTGAATTATTTTCAAATTTAGAAATGTGTCATTTGTTTTGGAACAGACTAAAAAGGAAAGTACCTCATTTAATATGAAACGGAGGGAGTATTAATAATGACATTAGTTATATTAGTTACTATTTGATCATAATAGTACTTAATTCTTTTTTTGGGGTTACTAAATTCATATATGTTTGGTATATTAAATGTAGTGAATTGTACATTTTTCTTCAAAGAAGAATGTGTTTCACATCTTCTTTTTTCCTTTCAAGCCCCATGAGCCTCATCGCCTTTTTGCACTTTTCACTTAAAAAACCAATGTCATCCGTCCTTGATACTACTTCAACTAGACTGAGAAACATACACCAGATTTGCCATACGGATCTGAAATATAGTACTAGGTGCCGGATAGACTGAGAAACATATACTGCATAGTTGCATACTCTTCTTCGAAGATTGCCATGCATGATGCAGGGATCGTTGAGTGCTATCCAAACTAATCCAACCATTTTTGTTGGCACAAAGATTCCATAGCAGCTTCCATGACCACTGGGGATCTCCCTCTTGTGCTGTTTCCATTTATAGCTCGATTTTACTTCAAAACCTCCATCCTTCTTAGCCATCCATTACAGAGGTTGTGACTTTCTCCACTAACGCCGTACCTTCCACTCTAGAAATAAGTGGACTCACACTCGCTGATTTCCAGTCCTGCAGGTTCCTTCTGAAGCGGAGTTTCTAGATACTTCCACTGAAGCAGTCTGCTATGATGTGGCCTTTTTTGTGAGAAAAACTGTCAAGATCTGATAAAGCTCCTTAAGGGGTCAGTTTTCTAGCCACCACATCCTTGTTCTCCTCCATTCCCCACCCAAATTCTTACCATCACTTCAAATTCATTCCATCATTTCCTTATCTGTTTCCACACCACCACCCATAAGGTGTTGTGACGTCGGTGCACCATTAACTATCCATTTTTTACTTGATTATATCTTTCCACAATCCCTCTTTTTCAGTATCAATTCTGAATAACCATTTACACATAAGGCTCTTGTTATATGTTCTTAAGTTCTGTACTCGCATTTGATATTTTAATCACATTTATCTTTATCCATCAGCATTGACTTCCCAAAGAAAATTGCATCTGTTTGTCAAATTGCTTCCAGAAACTTCACTGGAACAGGGATTAGGGGAGTATGCACGTGGGGATTCAACCTGACACACTATTTACGAGTGACAACCTTCCTTGGAAGAGATATGCCTGGTCGGAGTAGACCAAGTTAAGTTTTACATTGAACAACCTGATCAGAAAAAAGTTGTACATTGAACAAGAAATCCATTCCACAAAAGAAAAATATAAATGCAGAAACTACATTTAAGTGCCAACAACACCCAGAAAGTCAAACAAATTCCTTAGTGTCATCGAACTGGAAAACACCTCAGATATTTCTCTCGCACAATAATGTGTTTTGTTCAGCTAACTGGAACTTCTAAGTTCAACAGACTATGGAATCCATGATAGAGGATTAGTCAACTAATCGATCAACTATATATCAATCACAAACAAGATGAATCGACTATATGAATCCTCTACATTCATTCTGCTCTATTCATCAAATTATTACTCCCTCCATTCCATTTTATAAAATTATTACTATTTGGGGAATCGAACAGCTTTTGCTTTGACCAAAACTTTTTCACTTATCTTTTAATATTTTTAATTATAAAAAATTGTAGTTTATAGTACTTTTTATCTAGTTTCTAGTTATGCAAATTTTAACTTATATTACGAATTTGATGTCCGAATTGAGGCCAAAAATAGAAGGTTTGACCCTCATACTACGAATCCCTTTAATCTTTTTTAGAAGACCCACATTTCCCTATACTATCATAGAAGTCTCTAACCAAACTCCTCGCAAACACTTTTGTTCTGGATAAAACCATTCACTAACCATACTCCTCGCAATCACTTTTTTCCTGGATAAAACCATACTCCTAGCAACATTCGGATCTAATACAAATGTAACAGCAACAAATAAGCTTAAACACAAGTAGCAGATGTTACGTATAGAAAGAGGACTAGTGGACTAATAAAATGATGAATTGCTCATAGTCACACAAGACTCAAAAAGGATGAGCAGATAATCCAAAGTTATTCAGGCACAGCTAAGGCTGAAGTTAGCTTGAAAGGAAACTTCTCTAAGTAAAATGATAGATTTACCATACAACAAGTATTTGTTACAGGGATAGCTACACAGGGAGCAAAGATTTTCTTAATGGATATTAAGAGTTAAAATCAAATGCGAAAAGCAAAAAAAAAAAAAAAAAAAAAAAAAAAAAAGCACCGAGGCCTGCTGGGGACTTAAGAGCAAAGCCGCAAATAAAGCGCGGGTATTAATAAAGAAAGCCTCAAATGTGGAGAAAAACAAAATTAGTATATATAAAATTCTAGAATAACTAATATAAACATAAATAACAATTATATGGACGAAGGAACTTAAAAGTATATACAATTAAGTGCAATATTTATTATTTAGTGTCGCCTCTTTATGACAGTGCCCATAGGTGATAGGTGTATGGCTTAGCGCCTTGTTGATTGTACTGAAGCTGGTTAAGCGAGAAGCCTCAGCTTGTTTTGCACCTAGCTTTAGGGCTTAAGTAACGACTCCTTAAACGAGCCTTTGACAAAAGTGCTTCTTTGGAGAATTCATCAAATACCAAAAGTATACTTCGTTCAATGAGACACAGTTCTATCTAATTGAGCATTGAAAAGGCATGTTACTTCTCCTCTTATCGGTACAACCTATAAACATAGATATGACAATGACACTTTCTTATTCACTAAAATCAAAAGATTCAAAACACATAAACTCACAGTCCACAACAGCCAATTTCAAGGCCTCAGGCAGACTCAACTAAGATCGAATTGTCGGGGATTACCCTGATCTTTCTCTTAGTTCCCCTTGTGAACCTCCAGAGCTCACATCCATAAAAGATATACACAACCACTCCCGAGTCGCATCCTATACAATAGATCCTACACAATCAACTGTAACTTTGCTAATACATCGAACAAGTCGAACCTAGCATCTTTAAGGCCAATTATAATTTCTAAGTATATCACTCGGCTCTTTTACGGTTATAAACCTTCTGTCAAGCTAAAAAGTCTACTCGTAATCCAACCTGTTCACAGAATTAACAAAAAATGTCTAACATTGCTACAGATTCTAGTTTCAAGATTAAGTAATCCTTTTGGCAGATCGACGCAGCTCCATGGAACAGCCACAACCCTAAGAAGCTAAATGTCCATAATTGATATCTATGAAATGCCACGTAATAACGTAATAGTCTTAGTTCCAATAAGGTTCACTTTCGGTATGAGGCACTGAGAATGTGTCTAAGATTTCTCAATAGTGTACCCACGGCTTAGATATCCGAAAAGTTTTCCGTTTACCCCCATTTCATTAAGTACCTCTTCCTAGCCATATCCAGTGAGTCAAATCTAATGTTGAGATAGTACAGATGGAGAAAGAACTGTGCAACCAAAATAAATGCATAAACAAAATCCAACAGTCAAATGACAGACGATGTTTAAGTGAACTCACAGGGTCCCTGTATATGGGGTAAACTGGTATTTCTTCACGGTTCACAAACATAGCTTCCGTCACCACAGGTCCTACAAACAAATGAACAGTGATACATCCATCAAAATACAAAAGTAAGAATTCCAAATTTCTCTCTTGGTTATCTAAACTCAAACTATATGATAAACGGAATGGTGTTTTTTCTTTTTGTTTTCTTTTTTTCATGGTTGTGATGTCAGGCCAGCTTGCGCGCACCTCATTCCACCGAATACCCGGTATCTCCCACCAGGTACCAAGTAACTCTGCCCCACAAAACTTAGGCAAATAGGAAGAAATCATCTAGTGTCTTTTGCTTCCACTGAGAATGATGAATTGTGTTAAGCTTTACTCATTACCCTACTTTCTTAGTACCCATTTAGCATTGACAGTATCTGTAAATACTGAAATTATTATTTGCAAATACTAGTTCCGACAAGATGTTTTGGATTTCAAGTGAAATATTATTTGAACTTCAAGTGGATTACTGAAAGAGTTTTAAGTTTTATGCACATCAGATCACTTAAAGGTAATTGCCAGTAACTGCAAGTATCTCTATTTAATAAGCATGGATGGATAACCTAAAGTAAATGGTGAGTAACTTGCTGCAATATGTTAAATTAAAATTAGACTGATGGTGTAAAATACTTTTGCATAAGCTTAAATCCATTGAAATTGTTGATTGAAGTGCATTTCAAGTTCAAATCTTCAACTTATATGAATTTTTGTTTCCAAGTGAAATTTCATGTCCAAACATGATTTCAACTTTCACAAACATCAAGTGGAATGTTGAAAAAGTTTTAAGTTTTATTAATGACATGTAAAAGTTATTTACATCATCAGATCACTTAAAAAGTAATTGCAGATAATTCTATCTAATAAGCATTAATGGATAACCTAGAATAAACAGTGAGTACCCTGCAATAACAAGTTAAATTATAATGAGTGATGGTGTAAATGTTTTTATAGCTAGTGCATATAACTTAAATACATATTGAAATAGTTGTTTGAAGTGTATTTCAAGTGAAGTTTTTCAAATTTTCAACTTTCATGAATTTTCTTTTTAAGTGAATTTCATGTCCAAACATAATTTTAATTTTCACAAACTTGAGTGGAATATTGAAAGAGTTTAAGGTATATGCAATAACGGTCTAAAAAATATTTACACCCGTCAAATCACTTAAAATGTAGTTGCAAGCAACTCTATTTAATAATCATTGATGGAGACCCAAGGGTGTGGCCTAGTGGTCAATAAAGTGGGTTGAGAACCATGAGATCTCAAGTTCAAATCTCAATGGAGGTAAAAATACTAGATGATTTCTTTCCATATATCCAAGACTTGGTGGACAGAGTTACCTAGTATCTCTTGCTGGTGGAAGATAGCAAGTATGACATTGTATTAGTCAAGATACACGCAAGTTGGTCCACACACCATCGTTATTAAAAAAAAAATCATTGACGGATAACCTAGAATAAGTATCCAGCTATAACCGGTTAAATTACACTGATGGTGTAAAAAAAAATTCCGGCAGTGCATAATCCATATTGAAATAGTTGTTTAAAGTGTATTTCAGTTGAAGTTTTTCAAATCTTCAACTTTCACTCACCAATTTTCAATTTTTATGAATTTTTTGCTATGTAAAGTTCATCGCTGAACATAATTTCAACTGGATTTAAGTTATATACAATGATAGTGTAATGAATTTTTACACCATCAGTATATTTAAACTGAATTATAAGTTAATTATCATTTATGTCGGATTACCACTCAATGTTATTAAGTACAATTTCCTGCAGTAACCTTTTAAGTGACCTGATTGGGTATAATTTATACTCATTTCAGCTTCCACAAACTTTTTTCCACTTATACTCAAATTTTGTCCAAACTCTGCTTAATAGTCACTATCAACACATTAAGAAATAATTTGAGATAAAAGTAAGGATATTTTAATTACCAGGTTTAACAACATGACGATTCGTGAGTATAATTCCGCGACGCTTATCAACAACAAAGCCCGTAGCGGAACTGACACCGGCAGATTCGGTATCAAAAGCTCGGCAAGCGGTGGTTCGGAGCACGACGACGGCAGGAACTACTTTGTCAAGCGCCTTTCGCCAATCTTCTGCCGTAGCGAGGATGTTCTCCTTGAACGGAGGAGGATCAATGTCCATACACAAATCCTCCTTCATTATACTAGACTATATTCTGGTCCTAATTCTCCCTCCGATCACAAACTCTCCGGCTAAAAAGAACGGAGAGTGATTATTCCGGCGACAGCTGACTGGGAGAGAGAAATGCCAGAAAACTGGCGGCGTCTGCGAAGTTGAGTTGGCGTTGACACTGTTTTGAGGGGCCCTTCACTCGTGTGGAAAAAGAGCTAAACATCTGGCAAACAGTGTCAAGAGTTTTATTTGCACAATTAGCTCATATAAAACTCTAATTACACGTAAATGAAACAAAGCTTACCTGTAGTATAACTATTGATTAGTTACTTTAATAAGTTATATTGGGATTACTTATCGTGATATTATTTTTTATTGACTCTTTGATATGTTGAATTAATTTTGGGATTGTCAATTTTACTGATTTGTACTGATAACTTATTCTTGGATTACTATTGCACCCTCTGGCAGGTATAAGTTATTCGGATATTATTTTTAGTCATATGATAACTTATTCCACCATTAGTAACCAAATAAGGGATAAGGCAGTACTAAATTTTACCTCAAAATTACTTTTTCTTATCCATCATACCAAACGACCCCTACGGCTATGTCACGGGGGCGTTCAACCCGAACCAAAAAATCGCACTTAAACGAAAAGTCAAACCAAATCGATTTAAAAATCCCGATTAGGTTTGGTTTGGTATTGAGTAAAAAGATCCAAACCAAACCGACATATATATTTATAATTTATATATGCTTTTAAGGCTTTATATAGAATTTTCTTTAAAAAAATATTTTGAAATACTTAGGATTCTCTTATGGGATGTAATAGAATATGAAGTGCTCCATTTTTATTTACTTTAAATAATGGGTTGTATCATTACTTTCTTATCAAGTATTTTTAAAATGCGTCAATCTCTTTATTCTTCCATATTCATATGTCAATATTTATTAAATTCTTATATATTTTTTCGAATTTGAAATGATAACTCATAATTTAAAATTAAATAGAATATATCATTATTTAGGTATCATATTGATTTTATGTTTAATTATTAAATTCGATTAACTTTGAAAGCGTACATCAACGAAAAATTATTGTTAGGCGGCTAGAAATATATTTATCATCTATTGTTAAGAAAATTCTCCCATAAGAATATTTTAATAGATCATATGTTTGTGAGTTCTTTTAATTTTTACTAAACATATATTATTTACTTATCAAAAGTTTAACAAAGTAAGATTGAATTAATATTCATGTAATTAAAACCCTGACAAAACCGACCCAGTCCAAACCGATATAGTTAATTTGATTTGATTTTAATAAAATCGAATCAATCTGGTCCATATACACCCCTATATGGTTTGATTGATGTAATGAGTGCACACCAAGGGGTTTAAGTCTATTATATTTTGTATTATTTTTAATTATTGTAAGTAATTTTAATTTAGTGATACTATCATTAGATTACGTGCAGCCAAATTGTTAATTTAAACATTAGAAGAAAACAATAAAAAACTGAAGAATATGCAACAACAAAAATAGCAAAAGAGAGGATATGATTATTTAAGATGATGTTTTTGAAGTTAAATGAGTATAAGTAATGATATTTATGCAACAAATATTGTAATTTTGAAATTTGATTTTGGAGCAATAATTTCTATCAAGAAACACATGACTCAATTTGAGCAAAGTGTAACTCTCATTTCTCAATCTGTTGTAAATATATACATGTCTAGTAAAATTGCGGGGCTTGAGAATTATTTTCAACCGTATCAAACTATTTACCATTAGAATTTTTTAATGCAAAATTATGACATTTAATCAAAACTAGTATTAATACCCACATGATGTGCGGATAATATTATGATCCTTCTAAATTTTATAAATTAAAAAGAACAAATTATATGAATAACTATTGACATAAACTTAAATATTATAATCCCATATGTAGTCGGTGATACAGGCAAATAAAAATACAATATTATTCAAAAATAAATACTCTTTCTCTTTCAATTTACATAAAATATGTTTTTTATTAGTCTGTTCCAAAAGAATGATACATTTATATATTTGAAAATAATTCAACTTTAAATTTTTTCTTTTACCCATTTTACATATTATGAGAAGTTTTTACACCCACACAAATATCATGGCCCCACAAAACTGTTAGGATCATAAGTTTCAAAAGTTTTCTTTTTCGTTCTTAAATTCCGTGTCAAGTCAATATCTCATCTATATTAAAACTGAGTGAAGTCATGCTATATAGAGTAATAACAAATAAAAATACATTTAGTAATATCTTAATTTAAATTATAAAAATATATTATATTATTATCTCAATATAATAAATTCTCGCATCAACGTTAACTTCTACCAATCTAAAATTATACAATGAAAATTAATATATACATACATGATAATTTATTAACAACCAATATATTCTAACTTTTGGGAGTTACCAACTTCTAAAACAGTTGGATCGTAATTTGCTCAATAATTTTGCTAGTTAACTCAATTTTAACCACACAATTAAAGTTACTTTATTTTTAACAATTTAAATGATACCTTTGGGATATAGTTAAGATTAATATATTATAATTAAATAAATATTAACCTACTTCAAAATATTTTTCTTCTACGATGCACATGTACTAAAAGAAGATGAGTTCTTACATGTAATTTTTAATTAAATGAATCTTACCTTATGATTGTTGTAATTCATTTTATTTTGTGTAAATAGCAATTCCAAATAGTGCAATTATATTTATCTATGTGTTTACCTTATCCAAATCTATTTCATCACACACACACACACACAGACACACACACACACACACACACACACATATATATATATATATATATATATATATATATATATATAACATATATCGACCCATCAGTTGCTCGATCAATTAGCTCATACAATTTGAGAGAACATAAATATCAATAACGGGCTAAAAAATTATTGTCCATACCTGAGCCATTAGAGAAGAATCTATCCTCCCTTATTTATTTAGCATAACAACTGCTAGCACTAATAAAAATATAAAAAATATATGTATTGCTTCCAAACAATTGAGATATAAAATAAATTATAAAGAATTGGATAATTAATTTTACCGTAAGGCAACACAATTGACATTTGTTCAGCCGGTGTCTCAGTCGATTCATAGTTTAAAACATTATCCCCAAAGAAATGTATGACCTCAGTTCCTTTATTCTTGTGTAATTTTATGGTTGATCTACTCCCTTTCAACATTATTGGAGGTTCTTTAAACATTGATAGAATCGAACTATATTTATGTGACCATTCTCTTTTTGAGAATCATTTTAAAAGTATTCGACTCCAAACCACATATATCACACGTCTTGATTCTCAAAACTGAAAATGCTAATTGAGCAAGAGATATAGATTTATTTTTAAATTAATTAAAAGTATCAATTTACCCACAATATTTTTATATCCCCCCTCCCCTATATTATTCCCTCTACTATGAAATTTTATATAATTATTTCATTTATATGGAAGTTTTAATTTAAATTTCTATTTAAATTAACTATATAATAATTTAAGTTATATTTTTAAAAAAATTATTTGTTTCTCCGAATTATGTCAATTGTTTATATTTTTTTTAGTTTTATCTATTATAACGGTTTTAAATACGTGTATCTTATTTATATAGTATGACTTAGATCATTAATATTTTAAAAGTTTTCTCTTCTCAAAGATCAAATAAGCCTTATCATTACATATACATCTACTACTGAAATTATTTAATTACATATTTTTTTTCTTTTTTTTATTCCTTGTTCATGTTATTGCATTACCCATAACTTAGAGTTGTTCATATTATAGTCCACAACTCTCATTAATAGATGAATTTAATTTTTCTTTTTCTTGTAATAAAAATTATATTCATTAATTTTTTATTCTACTGCTCAAATTAATATTTAAATTGATCAATAATATTTTTTAGTATCATTTATTTATTATTGTCATGACCCAAATTACCGAACCCGATCGTGATGGCACCTCTCGTGAAGACAAGGCCAGCCAACTAACCCATTTCGCCTTTTCAGAATAGTTAATATTAATAAACAGTTTTAATATGATTAAATAACCACAAACTAAGCAAAAGATTTCTTTATAAAGTGCGTAATACAACCCAAACACAGCCCAAACCGGGGTGTCACAAGTCACGAGCATCTATTAGATTATAAATACAACTACAAGGCCTGAAACATACAAAATCGGACTAATGAACGAAAAGGGATAAAAGCGGTGCTGCGAACGCTGGCAGCCACCTTACTAAACTCTGATAACTCTGCCTCTGATTAGCCATAACCCGCTACCGGGTGAATAAATACCTGCATCTGCACACGAGGTGCAGGGAGTAAAGTGAGTACTCCAACTCAGTGAGTAATAAAGGTAAATAACAACTGAACAGTAAGAAATCACGTAAAGCAACCAACATGTTGTATAGAAGCAGTGTAAAACCCTTTGAGAAAAGCAGTGAAGCTGTGAAATCTTTAGAAATATCTTAGCTCAGTTTAAACCTCTTTTGAGAATGACTTTTTCAACAATTACGTAATGTTTGCAAAACAATTAGTGCCGATAAGCACAGAAAATCAGCCCCTCGGGCACAAATACCACAGTATAATAGGTAAATGACAAGTAAATGTGAAAGATGAACACATAAAAATTCGCCCCTCGGGAAATATCTCAGAACAGTACCAACTCCTCAGGCTACCTCACAATCACTCGTATCAGCCCATTGGGCTCACTCTCAGAATAGTATCAACCCCCCGGGCTCACTCTCAGAACAATATCAGCCCCTCGGGCTCACTCTCAGAACAATATCAGCCCCTCGGGCTCACTCTCAGATCATGATGGGTACCCGCGCTCACTATGGGGGTGCAGACTCCGGAGGGGGCCCTTACGGCCCAAGTGCAATATCAAGTCATCTCGTGGCATCAAATCTAGGCCCTCGGCCTCATATCAATCAAGCCACCTCGTGGCGTATAAAAAGTATCTCAGGCTATCGGCCTCATATCATTCAGCATATCCTCACATATGGCTCTCGGCCTCACTCAGTCCGAAAATCATCACAAGCCCCTCGGGCATTAGTAAAATAGTAGTTCTCAGCCCAAAACATCATTTAAAAATATCATTTAAGTTTCAAATATGAGTAACAGTGGCTGAGTTTGTAAAACAGTAAATATCAACATGACTGAGTTCAAGTAATA